GGGAAAAGTGGGGATGGGGCAAAGTGGGGATGGGGCAAAGTGGGGATGGGGCAAAGTGGGGATGGGACGAAGTGGGGATGGGACGAAGTGGGGATGGGACGAAGTGGGGATGAGGCAAGATGGGAATGAGGCAAAGTGGGGTTGGGGCAAAGTGGAATTGGGAATTGGAAGTGACGACACCCATTTCAAGATATGAAATACGGTGGATTCAAATTTGCATGGCTGGCTTGTCAGTGAGGAAGTCATATTTTCTCACAATTTACAATTCAAAAATTACCAAAGTAGGGTAAGCGCAATAGACAATGATAAAGAGAGAGCATTGCCTTTGATTTTCTGGGGACTGACCAGTTTTATAAGATTAAAATGACAAAAAACTGGGGTCCCCCAAATACAATGCCCCATAGACCCAATCATGACAATGGTGAACTAGGCCTACAATGTACATGTACTGTACTAGTCCAACAATGTCCACTGCCTTTTAACATGTTCAAATACCTGCTAATTCTCGCAGTCAGACATCGGGGAACTTCTGTACATTACTGAATATGAAACGTTGGACTTGTAATTCTTGCGGTCGGGATGACGTCACTGGGTCTTGATTCTTTTTCTCTGATTGGTCAATTGGTGGCTATTCCATATTTCACACTCAAAACTCAACAAAGGGGCAAAACTGTTCCGAAAATCCGAATTATTGACTAAACTCTTAATCTTTCCATCACCGGTGAAAAGGTTTCAGTTATTTTGATCATGTTGCAGCAAAAATGGAGGAAAACATGCAAATCCCTGTACAATGTGAATGGAGAGTTTCCCCTTTCATGCCTTTGTCCAACTGCAAGTGCAATATATGGAACAACCTCCGACCACAAGAACAGCTTCCCAGTAAACTGAGAAGTGTGGGTCTTTCTTCCTTTCTTCATGCGTCATGTTAATGTAAGTATTAGGTTACGCTACTCGTTAGCAAAGATCGTACATTGCTGAAGGCGCAAGATTGATAACTCTGCCCAAAAGGTGTAATTACCATGGGCGCCATTTGAGCGAGTGATACGCCTTTGCAGTTTACGGTACTGCTTGGCTGCAGGCTCACCAGGTGCACCTGCCTGCTGCAGTGCCTGCACCTTTGCATTCCTGACATGCATTGCGCAGGCGTATCGCTTGCTCAAATGGCGCCCATACAATTACAACGTTTTACGTGTATTCACTGTGAAGTTCGCCATCTTTGATCTTTGCTCGTTAGGCAGGCACTGGGCCAGAATCGGCATGATATGTCCATGAAGTGTTTTATTCCTCAATAATATGTCCAGTGACCAGACCGTCACGTTCACACCTTTTACTCTAAATAACACAAAAATAGTTATTACCTTGTGTATTCGTTGATAGATCAGTCCAAGTTTCTTCTCTAGATATAAAACAAACCCACAGACAAATACCAATAATAAAACGGGAATACAACTAAAAATTAGCGCAAAAATTGAGAGTGGATCCATTGTGCTTTTCGCTCTGGATCTGTAGTCACGTCTGTGTCAATGTCAGCTGACCGACACTTTGTGCCGGTCGCTGGCTTCCAGTGAGGTATTATCAGGCTTTTGAGCTGCAATGAATTGGGAACTAGACCAAAACCACAAAACTAGCAATTTAGAAATATCGGCTTCGTTTACATTCGGGTTATCGAGCATTCGGGGGCATTTTTAACGCTTACTGGTTGATCAGGGAGCTAATACAAAGAAAACATAGTACAATACATGGTTTATATTTTTGTATTCCAAATAAAGCTATATAAACTGGAGAATCTCACCTGAAGGATTAAATAAATCCGTAAAGCAAAATTATCCCACAGCTGATGGAGTCAAGATCGACGTTTAGAAAACTGTATCGCTAGACTTTCAAAAGTCGTTTTGAAAGTCTTCTTTATGTCAATAAAGTGAGTTTGAGAAAGAGGGCGGTTGGTAAAGTGGTGGTAGGTCCGCTGGACCAGCAAATCGTAATTAAAATCTTTTATGGTTCATTAAAATTAACTCGAGGCTTTGTAGAAAAAGCGATGGAAGCTATCTACAGGAATTCTAACTCGTGTCTGTGTGAGATTTTGATGAAATCAGTGTCCTAAAAAACGACGGGCTTCACAACTACTTCGGGGCTACTGGCCAGTACTAGACCCAAAACATTGTCAATAATTTGCAATTAAATTATCTGGTGTTTGAGAACTTTTCCCAGTAGTGGTGTGTGGATAGGACTGTTGGGAAAAAAAGGTGGAAGCTACCAGCAGGACTGCCTGATCGTAAATTTCTGAAAAGAAATGCATAAACGGGGCCAATCGCGTTTTTAAAGGGAATATAGACATCATTTCTGGTTAGAAAAATCTTCAAAAGTCAACAGCTTACTCACTAAAAGTAAAATTTTGATTTGATGACTTTTGAGCACCTCAAAAACTGAACTTGTATATTTTTCTGATTTTTTGAAGTGTAGGGGGTATTTATGACTGTCTCATGACAACTTAATTACTGGTCTGCAACTTTTAGGGTGATGATCTTATGAGGGCAATTCTGCAAAAGTTATTGAATTACCCGTACAAATAATTAAGCTTTAATTTGCGACTTGAAGACGGTGAAAACTTAAAATTAGTTTTTCCTGATTTTGTGTGCGTGGATGGATGTGTGTGCGTTTCAATAAATCCTCCGATCCTATGTTTCATTAAAGGATTATTTGTTTAATCATGACAGACAATGATCATACACATCTGAAATTAAATCAGATACAGTACTATTATAAGTGCTATGCTAAAGCCCGATGCATTATGTGAAGGTACACTGTAGATAGAACTATTTTGTAGTTGTGGTATTGACCTATTTACTGGAACTTTCTATCAGGCTGTTCTACCCGCAAAATGCCAAAAAAACCTACTCGAGGTGGATAGCTGGTCAGTTCTTGCGATCATACCCACTGACGCACGTTGAGGTTGCGATGAGGCAGGCACAATGAAACTGTTGAATATCATTGTCAGTTATTAATTAAGTCCAGCACAAGAACGGAGGAAAACGCTGACGGTTTTTGAACACAGGTTTCCAGAGCATTTGTGAAATTTTCGTCTCTTGTGCTCCTGGACGTCACGTCCTCCAATGCAGTGATATCAAAATTATTTAAGGAAATACGATCCACAATAGCCCTGATTTTGATTGCCAAATTTGACTATTAAAACAACAGTGTGTTTAAAATCAAACTCAAAGCCAATGTAAGAAAAGCTTGTATATGTATAAGCCTACGTTTTGTATTTTGGAAGCAAGGAAATGCAAATGGTAATTCCATGATGATTAACTCAACACATTTTTTCTTTAGAGCAATAACCATATGAGAAACAATGGCGAATCCTAAATTTATGTGCAAAGTATATATGGAAGCTGACCGAAGGACACAATGTGGGGCTAGGCCGGTATGCAGCCACTCGATTCTGGGGGGGGGTGCCGCCATAAATGGGGTCGCCAGTCCTAACAAAATCGGTGTGGATGGGTGGAATGAAGTGGCACTTTGAACTTCTGGGCTCAACCGATAAAGCATTAATTATGGAACACACTGTGATCCCGTCTCTCACACTCAAAAAAATTACTGAGCTTTGTATTAATATTTATTCTCCAAAAGAACTTACACTTTAAAGCTTGCACTAACTTAACGACGATGCGAAATAATGAAACCCACAGACATGTTGATGCAACATAAAACAAACAATAACTATTGAGTAACTGATAACACGTGTTATTATCAAGTTTGCATTCCTGAAACAATTTAACATGCATAGTGTAATGTTTGGTTAGCAAATTTGAGTAACAAACCATCGTAAAATACATGTGATCACCCATGTATTTTCAGTTTGGACTATTTCCCATGTAAACTTATTGCATGTGAATCGCAATGCTGTATATTTGTATCCAGCAAACATACCTAACTTGATTGCTATAAATTTGCTATAAATTGGATTACAGTTATTAAGTAAATTCTAAATAATTAGATTTATTTTTAATCAACAAATTACTATCAGAAACTTCAAAGAGACATCTGCACTAGTAACTAGGAGGTTGTGGGCTCGAGTCCCACCAGAATAAGCATCTGGATTTTTTGTGAGCTCTGGGACAACACTATAGTGTAAGGCCTACCAATATAAGTCATTGTAAGGGCAAACCAATAACTAAAAATTAACAAAGTTCATTCCAGTTCAAATTATTAAGAGCTGAAATGACATAACCGAATGAAGGCAAGCAAGATTCATGAATGTTGTTGAGTGTGGGCCTTAATTGAAAAAATATGCCTTGATTAAAGAATTGTTTTTCTATGCCAAAAAGTGAAACGTGTCTGAACAAATTTTGTTGTGTGCCTAAATATCTTTCTTGCAATACCCTGCTCCGTCAAGGCCACTCAAAGAAATCAAGCAAGCGAGTCAGTAAGTGGCAACTTGGACTGGTCCTCGTGCCTATTACAATCACTAAGACCGATTTCTCTCGTGTGCACGCATAGTAAACGTGTTTTTTAATTGCCACTCAGTTTAATAACATGTCTGTTTAATTTCGGATAACGCTATGTGACATCCTCAGAGGAGGGCATCGATGTTGCCAAAAAATGGGTGTATTTCTACAGTTTCTCTTTTCTTTTCTTTCGTAAAGCATAAATGTCTTGTTCGTCTCTTTTTAATTTCTTCAAAGCATGCTGGACTCGCTCGCTCTATGGGTGCGCTCAAAAGTCATAGGAGAAAAGCAGGGGTCATCAAATTTATGAATACACCGTCATCTTCATTTCACTCTTTCGTTTGTTTTAAATCTAAAGAATTGTACGTTTTGAGATGTCGTTAGTATATCGAATGGTTGTTAATCTGCTGCCGAATCGTTCGTGAGGACACAAGAGGGAACAAAACTAACTTTCTTTGCTTATTCGATCTTCGAACGCTGCCATTCAGCAAGGGCTCAGACTAAATTCATTTGTATCATGATAGATTTTCTTGACACGGTGTTCAAAATAATGTGGTGACCAATCTTTGGCCGAAGTCCGTGCCATGCCTTCCCTCATTTGAAATTTTGGAAAGTGCACGCACAGCCTGTATTATGAACAAACCACAGTTCATCGGCTCTCAGTTCCCCCCCCCCCTCGAAATTGTGCGCACCATAAACCTCGTCCTCCTCCAAAATCTCACCCTACAATAATTGTTTCCCTACTGGAATGGCATTAAGATGGCTCAATTGTCCCCCCCCCATCACGTAAACTTTTGAGGTCAAACAAGGTTTACTATAGTCAGGACAACTTACATAATTAGCAAAGGCTGGCCGAGTGCGAATCCCTAGCGTGATAAATACGAGCACGTACTGTGAAATAAAAACCTCTCCTTACGGGTTTTCTGAGGAAGGAGGACAAAGATATATAGTAGGCCTCTCGACCAAGGATTGCTAGCTGACTATGTTGTCCTTGTCATTTGCATGCTGGGTCGAAGATTATTTTCTTCCTTTGATAAGGATTAAAATCGTTGCCATTTTCTGGAAAGCCCCTTAAAATGCGGAGGGCTCTTAAACTCCACAAGGATCACTTTCTTGCTTGTTTACATGTATCAATCAACCAGTATATCTGCCAGTCCATGCTTGTTCACCGTCATAGCGAGAGCAGCTTTATTTTCCGTTGATTATAATGCATAACTTCATCGATTATACAGAGTGGAATGTTTCCCCAAGCACTCGGGATAACGACGGCGGTTGTTTTTAAACAGTTCCATTCAAAAATGCAATCTGGCAATAATCTTAATTGATTGTTTATGTTACTTGTATGTTTGAAGTCAGACGTAAGCAGCTGCTATTTGGATGTTTCCTGCTCTGCTTGAGGTAAATGGAAATTTTGAGCTGATCAATTAATGATCCAGATATACTCTTGGAGTTGTGTTTCGCGACCTGGTGGGTTTTCGCTGACCACGGGCACTGGTGAATTTGGGGGATTTACATTCGCATTGTAGTAGACGTGTCCGTCATCCGTCTGTCGTGCCGTTTCCAAATGGTTCCCGTTGTTTTCCGGATCATTTCCACCCAGTTTTCTTTGCTTTACGACCCAAGAGATGATAAAGGTTAATGAAACGGCCACAAAGACTACGCCAGCAACAAAAGGAATGACAACCGTCACGGAAATACTCGCTGGTTTCAAACCATCGATACTGTTATTACCTCTTGATGTAAAATTAGGGGGTATCGATTCCGAACATCCGATGTTCGTGATATTAGTGGTCTCGATCACATTGGCCGTTTCATCTCGCGTCGTTTCGACAACTAGACCAGCAGTACCGTGGTCAAGGTATCCAATGTGGTCA